CTCAACCCCGCCTCAGCCCCTACAAGCCCCACCCCAGTCTCTATAAAAGACTCTCCCTGCCCCAGCCATATTGCTTTTGTCTCTCCTTTGTTCAGAGACAGCCCGGCAGATCTATTCCCCTAATAAAGGCTTGTTGTGGCCTGGTCTGGTCTTGGTCTTCGGCCCTTTTACCTGACATTTCAATGATAGGTCTCCCACCACCTCAGCAGCTATTATGTATAGTTGCTGAGGTGGTGGGAGACCTATCAAAAGGTATAATAGATAATGTGAAATAGGAAGAAGAGGGGCAAAGGGGAAGGGGAAGTGGGATGGATAGGGGAAAGGATAGAAGGGAATGGAATTAATATAAGAAAATGAAAAAATGGAAACAAAGTCTTTGTAAATAGTGAGGGATGGAGGGGTTGAAGGGAGGGCAGGGGAAGGGAGGAAAATAAGAACCAAGAGAGACTATGTACAGGTGCAAATTTCCAAAGATGAATGTCATTATATTGTATACCTAAAATGTACCAATGATTAAAATGAATAATTGATATGCAAAATAGGAGCAAAAGGTCCAAAGGGGTAGGGGTAATGGGAGGGGCAGGGGAAAGGAAAGAAGGGAAAGGAAAAATTATGAGAAATGGAAAAAATGTAAACAAAGTCTTTGTAAATAGTGAAGGGTGGAGGGGTGAAGGGAGTTCAGGGAATGGGGAAAAAATAAGAAGCAAGATATATCATTTAAAGTTGCAAGTTTCCAATGAGAAATGTAAACCTATGGTATACCTAAAATGTACCAATAAAAAAATTTTTGAAAAAAATTAAATAATTCAAATAAAGATGTGGTATATGTAAAACTATATGAGTTTCAAACATTTCGTATAAAAATGAATACTATATTGATAATTTTTAAATTAAGTATATATCAAGATAATAACACATCAAATCCATTGATTAATATGCAATGTTGGTTGGAATATAATATGTAATTAAGATTTTAAAATGAAGACCTCACATGACTGTTAACCTGGACTATACAAGTTGCCTTCACTGTGTGGACACACAGAGATGCAGACAGACATGCACGCACACACACACATACTCACACAGTAAAAGCACAACTGCCATCATCACATAAATTATGACCTACCTTCTCTAACTTGGGCTGGTATATTGTAAGAAATTGAACTGTGTCTCCTTAGATGCTAAGTTAATCTGGGTAATTGTCCACATGAACATATTTGAAAACAGTATCCTTACAGATGGAATTATGTTAAGATAAAGCCATTAGGGCAGGTCACTGACTATCAGGCTAAAGGAACTTACACTGCCGTCTCTAGAAAATGCACCAGTGCAGCTACTGAATCACCGCAAAGCTCTCCTCACCTCCAGTCACCTTAATGGGTGACCGGGTAGCCAGCTCCAGCACTGACACTGTGGCTTGAGTTTACTACGACTATTCTGTCCAAGGTAATTTAGAGCTAGACTTGCCACATGGGTGCTGATTCCTCTCACATGTGCCAAATAATCTTAAATAGATACCTTAGTGGCCTAGGCAGAAATCCACATACAAATAGAGAAAGATGTAGCTGTCAGGAATGAGGAATCACTATTGTCTGAATTTCTAGGTGAAAGATCTAAAATACCAGAGGTCAGTTGTCCTCAGAGGATGAGCAACCAGCAACCACCACAAAGTGGTGGGTAAGGCTGCAAGTTTCTGCAGTAGATCAGGGAGAAAGAAAGTTCTTGTGTATCAAGCCAATGATAAGTCAGTCTCAGAAAACTGAGAGTAGCATCTTGAATTTAGAAGGAAGTGTCCACATGCAGCACATGTCAGGTTATCGCCTGATGTCTTACAAGAGGACAACATTGGATATTAAGGATAATTAACATGCAAATGCATAATTTACATTTCTTTAAATGAAAATAGGGGCTACAAATATATTCTTTCCTATAGGTACAGCAGATTAAACCTGAGGGAATCCTACCACTGAGCTACATTCCCAGCCATGTTTTTTTGTTTCTTGTTTTTGAGATAAAGACTCACTAAATTGCCCACGCTGGTCTCAAACAGGTGACACTTCTCCCTCACCATCCCAAATAGCTGTGATTTCAGGCACTCACATCCATGCCAAGATGACCATATTCTTTACAACCAGCAAATGAAAAAGTCTGAACATTGGCCCTGCAAGAGAAGAGGTCTTCTGTTGTTTTTTTCAAAGCATTCTACAAGTAAGTACATCTGTGTTGGGTTTGGTGTGGTCAAACTCAGAGGATGCTTTGGGAATTGATGACTGATATGTCCCAAAATTGTGGGAAAGCATGGATTTCACAGATTCTTCCTCCTTGATTAGCTCTGCTTGCTTTGCCCCAGGATATTTCCTAATGTGAATACAGGGAAGATGTGTAGTAGGTGGGTCCTTGATAATAAATCCTTAGATGAGTAGGAGCCTGTTCTTTTTCCTAGGATGAAGTCTGTTGCCAGAAGACGGACATTTTTCTCCTCTTGGTCTAACTCTTCAATTGTGACCAAGAGGTGTTTAAGCGTCTGAGTTTTGGTGAGGCACCCCAGGATGGAGCCTCACAGTGATACAGAAGCAGTCAGTTTCAGAGCACTTAATCTGAGTCATTGTGAGCCCTATTAGACATGTCCTAAACAGAGGTATCACTGCTATTTGCCATTTTTTTCCTTAGCCCAAATAGGGTGAGAAACTCAATTAAACATTTTACCGAATGAAATCATTGGGTTTAAGTTGTGAAAAGAAAATAGAGATGAGAAAAAAGAAAATAGAGATGAGAAAGAGAAAGAAAGATACATTTCTGGATAAGGGTGAATTTATATCAACAAGTGAATGAACCAGGGCTGATGTAAGGGTTTTGCAGAGCTGAGCAGAGAATAACAACAGTTGTAGTTCTGAAGGGTTAGAACAGAGAGAGGAGCAATAAATGATTTTCCTTTTAAAGACAACAAAATAAAAATTCTCTAACTCTCAATTTTATTTTTGTGTTTATTCTTTTACTCAATTCAGTTACCCATGGAGTCTTCTAATGGTTTTGCCATTAATATGCTCTTCCATTCATACATTCATCCTTTAGTCCATCCATCCATCCCCTCACTAATCCAGTCCATCCCTTAAGAAACATTACACTGGATATGTAAAAATAAAAATCAAACAATGGTACTACAAAGAGATAATATTGGCCAATTTATTTAAAATAGATACAAAAAATAAATCCAGGTGTGCTTAATGCAGTCTCAGAAAAGAATAACACATTGTAAACAATTTATTCTAATAAATGTTGTACATTCAAAATGAGTTTTTTAAAATTAACAAGTGATGGGAAAATGAAAACTTCAATAGAAATCAAGAAATGGTTTGTCCATATTTTGATTAAAATGCTGAGCATTTTAGAAATGTAAGGGGATATTTTATTTGTCATAAATTGTGGCCTCAAAAGCTAATATAAACATAGTATTTTATGTCAAAATATGGAGGATTCCCACTGAAGATAAAATACTAGAAATAAGCCCATGATCAACATTATCATCATCCACCATATTTGCAGTGAAATGAAAAGAAAGTAAACTATAAATAAGGGGAGATAGAAGATAAAGCTATAATTACAAGATCACGTATAAGAGATTCAACAAGTTCAAGTACCGGACAAAGAAGTTAGATCAAGTTTTACACAAGAAATAACAATTTCCTTATTAACAAATAAAGTGGATGAATGTGAGTTAGAAAAAACAATTTATTTTTACATTAACAACAAATCATTTAAAAATCCAGCGGTTAATATGATGGAAAATTATCTCATATACATCATTTAGATGCACACATAACATGTACAAAATCTATGACTCACATATCAATAAAGGATGATTAAACCAGAATTCAGAAAATTTAACAACATTGATAGAAAATCTCACTATAGCACATTAGTCATACATTTAGTTACCCTATAAATTCACTTTATTACCATTTTTATTTCAAAGGTACTTAGTATAGCAGATGAACTGAAAAATCTAGAATTCTAATGGCCATAGGAGATTCTTAAAATATATTCTCTGGGATAATGGAGGGCAGGTGTAAGAGAAGAAACAGAACCAGTCATCAAAAATTGGTATAATTAGTATATTAAATGGATATGCCCTTGAAGAGGAAAAAAACATAATGAAATGGTTAAAAGAAATAAGAGATATAGTTGTCTAAAGCAAAAAGTTGTCATATTAGTAAAAAGTTTTGAGAAATTGAAGATTATAAGACAAAAGTTGAGAAACAGTCACATTTAAGCACAAATATTGGGATCAATTACAGATTTAATGGGAGTCACAAAAATCCAGAATGTAATTCAAATGAAAAGTGTAATAATTACAGGTGTGAGTGATTTCAAGACTATTAGAAATATGTCAGTTGTTCACTCAAATAAATACCATGATGTAATCTGATATCTAACTCCATAAATGGTGAAGACCTGCCTCTGAGTCTGTGTTTTTAAAATATTCTTTCTGTACTCTTACTCCCAAAATGTGTTTTATGTCTGAATGAATATACAGAATTTCTCTCTGGGCTTAACAAAATGATGTAGCACTTGGGGGCAAAGATGCAGGCCAGCAGCCCCGCACCGGAGGCCAAGATGGAACAGACCTCCATGGCCACCATGACCTTCCCCTTGGTGCTGTGGTACACAGGGAGGAAGGTGACCCACACACTGCAGAACACCAGCATGCTGAAGGTCAGGAACTTGGCTTCATTGAAGATGTCTGGCAGGTTCCTGGCCAGGAAAGCCACAGTGAAGCTCAGCAGGGCCAGGGAGCCCAGGTATCCCAGGACACAGTAGAAGGCAGTGAGGGAGCCCTTGTTGCACATGATGATGATGTGGCCATGTTCAGAGTGTGCATCTGTGTCAATGTAGGGTGGATTTGTTCCCATCCAGATTCCACAAAGAGTGAGTTGGATCAAGGAGCAGATGGGAATGATGAAGTTAGGTGCACCTGATACCAGCAACTGCCTCATCTTTCTGCCTGCAGCAGTGACCTTAAAGGCCAACACCACCGTGATAGTTTTGGCCAAGACAGTGGAAACAGCCACAGTGAACACAACTGCAAATGTGGTCTGCTGGAGGATGCAGGTGGCTGTGTTGGGACGGCCAATGAAGAGCAAGGAGCAGAGGAAACAGCAGGTGAGGGAGATGAGCAGGGTGTAACTGAGGGCCAGGTTGTTCGCCTTGACAATGGGAGTGCCTCGGTGCTTCACAAAGAGCCCAAGAACAGCAGCTGTGAGGAGAGTGAGACTCAGGGCAGTGCCAACCAGCATCTTCCCCATGGGTTCTCCATGAGCCAGGAAAGTCACAGACTTTTGCAGGCAGTGGTTTTGCTGAATGTTGGCATACTGATCATCAGGACACTTCACACACTGCTCCATATCTACTGAGAAATTCAAATTTGTCATTAGTTCAAGTTCAGTGTTTCCTATCTTGCATTTTTTGGTTCAACTTACTTCTTCTTTATCTAGTTTGTAAATGTATTTGAACTGCAGAACTCTAGCCTTTCACTAATTAAATATCCATAGTAGAACCTAAGTATATATGAGATAAAATATGAATTTATCACTAAGAATAATTTTAGCTTCAACTCACAAAATGTCATGTCATATATTTAAGACAGACTCTTGTTAATTTGCATTTCAAAGGACTGTATAAGAAACAAATTGTTGAGAATTTCTATTTATAAGCAAGAAGAATAAAGAAATTGATACTGCTGGATCCATGAGTCTCTGTATGTCCACATTAAAAATTACATAAAAGTACCATGTCCTTGAACTCTATAAAGAATTCATACTCAAATTAACTATAAGGTACATCATCAGTCAAGATATACTTCAAAGCAAAATTGAAATCATACTACAGGTAAGTAGTTTGCAAAATCAAAACACATGTCAGCCACAAATGCAAATTAGAAAATATCCAGTAGAAAGGTGATTCTACCAGGTCGTGATTTATCATCAACTCAAGTGTTTCCAAAGTCATACTCATGGTATGAAAAATCCTTCAATATTGGAATTCAGTAACTTTTCTATACAATGCCTCAATCTTCACCCTCATATTATCTGTGTTTTAAGGACACACAATTTCATTTTCAACCTTTGTATAAGACACAAAAGGGAATTAGGTATTTTGGCACTTCTGCTAACCCTAATTAAGAATTTATGCCACCCTACATCTTTCAGGTATAATATTGATTTAGCCACTTTTTCATTACTGGGAAAAAACACCCAACATGGACAACCTAGAGGAGGAGAATTTTATTTTGGCTCAGGTTTAAATCTACCACCAATGGACTAAAGGCAGGAATGATCAGGACAAAGGGTAACTGCTCATTCCATGAGAGCAAAGAGGAGAGAGAGAGAGAAAGAGAAAGAGAGAGAGAGAGAGAGAGAGAGAGAGAGAGAGAGAGAAAACCTGGTGGGGAGATGTGCTCTACAAGGTCACACCCACTGTGAGCCACCTGTTCTGACCAGGCTCCCTCCTAACGATATGTGCAGCTATGGATTCATCACTTGGTTAACACACTCATGAGCATAGCACCCCTATAATCCAATGATATTCTGTACACAGGAACATTTTGAGACACACTACATGAAAAAAAATACTAATGCTGCTGCTTCTGTGGAAATATCTATGACATTCTCCTAACATATGCCTATAATCATCATTAAATCTTTCGACTGAATACATATCGTCCTACTGCTCTGTGGCAGGAATTATGAGTCATGATGTGTGTTATTTTCCCTACTGATGTGCAACTTCTAGGAGAGTGAGGATGACATCCTAGTCACTGGTGTCATACTGTATTCTAGGCATGTTGTACAACAAAGACATATCTCTGTCTTAAGGCAGACACAATCTCTCTGAGCAACCGCTTTCTCTAAAATCAGTGCTAGGTCCTCAAATATAAGGATATGCTGGAGCTTTATGTGTATCCAAAACGAGGTTTCACATCATGCGAACAGCTGTTGTTTAAAAATGCTCTCTGTTAAGCTTCATGATGAAGATGGAACTCAGAGACTATGGGGTGAGAAAAGGGGTCCTAATGAGAAAAGAGTACTCTCGGTGGGTCTAGAAAACAAATCAAAGAGCCAGGGAGAGTTTTGTTTATCTGTGATCCCAGCTGCTCAGTAACCTGAGACAGGCTGGTGAACATTAGCAAGATTTTTTCAAAATAACCAAATGAAAAGACATGGAGATAAAGCTCAGGATGAGGGCACCTCTTGTTCAATCTTCAACAATTTAAAAAGTAAAAGAAAACATTAGAAATAAAAATGAATCTATGAGTTAGCGCTTCTCGGCCTTTTGGCTAAGATCAAGTGTAAAAATGAATCTATGAGTACTTGTATTACAAGGGACAGAAAATGTGTCTTTAAAGGGATAATAGTACTAAGTTGAAGGAATAAATTTCCACCTGACAGAAGAAAGAATTTTGCCATCCACAGAAGAAAGAATTTTGTCATTGTTCTGTGGACAATTTTTTCCATTTCCTGGATGGACGAGGTGAATACAAAATGAACATGGAGAATATGTCCCTAAGACACACTCTTACCAGTGCCATTGGTGATCTCATTCTCTGGGCAAGGGGTGCAATCAAAACAACAGGCAGGTTTTCCCTCCTGAGGGGATTTCCTGAACCCAGGATGACAACTCTCAGTGCATACAGAGCATGGAGTCTGAAGAAAAAACATATGTTGGAGAGTTGTTAGAATTTTATCACTCCTTCAGAGCTTGAGAGAACAACTTATATACATACAGAAATAATATTGTGTATACATAGGTAAATATAATATTTAGCAATATAAAATATATATGTATTTACAAAATGTCGTTAAATATGTTCTATATGAATTCATTGGAAAACTAATAAGTAAGAACATTTATAAAATTGAGAATTGAGATACTTAATTGCCATAGTTTTCAGCTTCATTAACAAAATCTGGGGTACAAAATCTACAACAATATTTTGGAAGTGCATTATGATTTTCTCCAACATACCTCTGTAATTCCTGTGGCCCACTCGATCATGTCATCAGATAAAGAAAATTGTTGACCACGTGGAACATGTGGGGTAAATGTCCCCAATTTGACCTTAAGTCTAAGGCCTTCTGGAAAATTCCAAAAGTTGAGAATGTCATACTCTGCATCCAGTTTCTTTCTGTCATCCAAAGTCACTTGGTCTCCAGCAGGATTATTAAATTGGATGTTCTTCAGAAAGGGGTGGAGCTAAAAGAGACACATCATCCTCTGGTGAACAGGGCTTAATGATTAAAATAAAAATGAATTAGGGAATGTTCCTAATTATCTTCAGTATTTATTTCATAATACAAATTTTACACTGGTTATCATAAGGTAGAATAAATAAAATATTTTGGAGGATAAAATACCATACTTTTCCTAAAAAGTCCATCAATCTTAGGAGAAAATTTTTTATGCAAGTTTATTTAAATAAAGTTTCATGAGTGTCAGAAAAAATTAGTATTGGATGTTTTGTTGATTTTATCTCTCCATGTTCCCACAGTGTGTACTTGCAAAGTTGTCAACAGCAATAATTATTGCAGCATGAAGTGAGAAATTTAAGATAATATATGTAATATAAAGTTTACTACCATTTAAATTCAATAATTACAAAGTCTTCTGTTTCCCTTAGAGAAGTTAATGGAAAACACTGAGATTTTTAATAAATATACTATCTAGGTGAAACTGATATCCTTCAAACAAAAGCAAAGATCATATGATTTTTGGGATGCCAGGGCCTTCTTGCTAAAGGACCATTTCTACTCAGCTCAAGATTTATTTCCTTAATAATGAGCTGGTGTGTACTCACTTGTACTTTTGGATAAAACGTTCTAAACTTCTCTGATGAAGCACGTGTGTAATAAGAAAGGCACGTTGCTGACATTGCATACCATTACAAAAAGATGATTTACCTGCGAGGAAGCAAACAACATCACTTCTTTGTTTTCCATTGGCGGCCACTGTGCTTGTTGAAGGAACATCTCATGGAGGGCATGGGCCACAGCATACACAGCATTGTATATATTGTGACTCCAGTCAGTCATGGCTGTGTAAAATTGATTCACAGGCAGCCATGCCAGAGAGGCATTAGGTGTACAGTCTTTCAGTGAGCAGTCATAAACAGAGAATGAGCAGTGGAAATTCTCTAACCAAAACACAGTGAGATACAAGTCTTCTGGGTATTTGGAAGGATTGGCTTCTTGGACAAAAGTTTTGAAACCAGAAATTTTCTCACGGTGGTTTAAAAAAATGAAAGTCCCATGGAATGAACTAAGTATGAATTTTTTCCCAGTCATGTCAGCGTGCCATTGTGAGTTTGTGACCCAGACATTGCCTGTTAGTAAGTATTGCTCTATGTTATAGTTTACATCATTTATAATATCAGTGTCATAGTAAATGATGATCACATTTACTTGTGATGCTTCCTTGGTCAGGATAATGCGTTCATTTGAAAGTGTCACATAGGACACAAGAACGGTTGAGACCATTTTCACAAATGCTACACAGATTTTGTTCCTGTCCATCTCTCCTGTCACATCTGAGAGAAATTTAAGACCTTTCTGACCTTCCATAATGAGCAGTCCCACCCAGGTCCAGCTGAAATGAAGCATCAAGGAAACCATAGCAAGGGGCAGAGAAGTGTCCTTTGGGGCAACCTGATAGAGTGAAGGAAACTGTCCACTGTTTCTTAGCATAGGATCAAAAGAACCAAATGTAACCTAAAAGGAAAGAAAATCAGAAGGAATATAAGGAAGAATGTTGACACTAAGCACAACCTCATGCCTGGAGAATGCTAACTAATAGCTGGAAGGGGTAAGAGATACATATTCATTCAGGCTTTCTAGTTATCTCACTTCCCAAAAGCTTTTCAGAAAACAGCTGATCAGTTACAATTTTTTGTGGGAACGTTTTTGTTTTCTTCTTTCCCCATTTTTCCTATATTCAAGGAAATTTTGAGCAACCCACCACATACCTGTGTACTTACACATTGAAATTACACACTTGTAAAGATGTGCTTTAACTAGGATCTTTCTTCTACCCTGTTTAGCCACTTAATCATGTCACCAACAAAGACATGGTTTCATCTTTCCCCATCTCTCTCATCCTCACCTGTGGAAACTTGTAGAGCTCTAGCAGCGTTCCAATTTGAGCAGAAACTGCCCATGATGTTCCTGATACCACTGCTACAGACTTTCTCTCTCTGCCACAGGAGTAATTAGGGATCTCCTTCTGTCCTGCGAGCAAAGTGAGAGAACTCTCCAGCATCCTCCAGTGACTGAAAATGAAATTATGGATCTCATATCCCAGAGATATGTTGGGTAAAAGATGAGGATTCTTGTTGATCTCTTCTATAGCAAATATGAAGGCTAGAACATTCTGGTAGCTGTTGGGAATATGCCTGCATAGAGAGCATACAGGTCTTTATGGTAAAGACAATCTATGTTTATATTACAATCTAGTACAATAGCATTTGTGAGCTGAATTTCCTCCCCCGTATTCATGTTGTACGAACTGAGGCATAAATGTGACATTAATACTGGTTTTGTTTTGGGTGAAGCAATTAGGCTTAGATGAGAACATAAGGGTGGATTTCTCATGACTAAAATCACTGTCTCACAAGATTTAAGGACAATTGCTTCATTGTCCTTCTATGTGAGTATGCATTGTCCTGATGGTCACTGATAAGATAGGACTCAAATGCCTTTTCATTTTCTGACCCACAACTGTTAAATATCAAGATTTATTGTTTGGAAAACCTCAGTTGGTGATATATTTTTATATAGCAGGCAGAATTCAGGTAATATCAGGTAATATATATATCATCAAAAATATAAAATTTCTGGGAATAAATTTAAAAGATAAGCATGATTTTCATGAAAATAAATTAGAAAAGAAGAAAAACTTAACTGATAAAGTTTTACTGAGACAAAGAAGTCTTAAACAAAAAAATGACAACAGGTAGCATAGTTTGGAAAATTATGTAAAGAAAAGCATGTTTTCCATGTATAATATCATGTGCCTGGGCAGTGAAGCTCAGCCGGTCCCAGCACCCGGAAGGAAGCTCCCCGCCTCCATTCCAGGCTCCTAGGGCAGTGAAGCTCAGATGGTCCCAGCACCCGGAAGGAAGCTACCCGGCTGCCATCCCAAGCTCCTAGGGCACAGAAGGTGAGCCGCGTGGGCGCCACAAGGCGCCCCCCTGTGGAAATGAGAAGACACATAAACAAGCCTCAAAAATAAACTTCCAGATCACCCACAGCAACCCCAAAGGGAAACGAGATGGAACACTCTGATACTCAACCACCTGGACTCTCTGAACTGGCAACAAAAGAGGATCTGGAAAAATGAAATCAGAAATAATTACTCAGATAACAGCAAAGATTTTGCTCATGGTGCAAAACATGATTAATAAATCTAGAGAGGACATGGATAAAAAAAATAGAGGATCTGAGGAACATGATGGAATCTCAACATAGAAAACAAATGGAATCCATAAAACAGATACAAACAGATTTCCAAGAGATTAAAAACTCCATCAAAAGTCTGTGCAGCAGAATGAACCAATGTGAGGATAGAATTTCACATATAGAAGATAAGATTGCAATTAGTGAGGAGGAAAAGAAAAATTGCTTTAAAATTGTAAGGGAACATGAGAAATCAATCCCAGCAGCTGCTAGACGATGCAAAGAAGAATAACATAAGACTGACTGGAGTCAATGAAGAAACAGGAGAGAGTGCAGATGACATAAAAAAACTGTTCACAGAATATCATGTGCCTGTACTGCAGCTGTTCTGGAGGCCTGGATAGAGGGAATACTTAAACTCGGGATATTATTGATAGCCTAGACAATATGAAAAGACCCTGTCTCAAAAAGCATGACATCATGGGGGAAAGTGCCCAGAAATAAAGGGATAAGCAGATAGCTGAACATGATGATAAATACGAGAGAGATCCAGACATCATCTATGGAAGGAAGAGGCCAATGATTCTCACCCTGCCATCCCTCCTCCCAATGACAGGAGCACTCGTGACTTCAGTATCTGACCAAACCCCAACAGCCACTGTGTCAGTCACACCCCGGTTCCACACAGGAGCACAAAGCATCTGCTAAAGTCCTCTGACACTATGCAAAACCCATGAATTAATTATACATTTGGCTATAGAACTATGTGACAGTGTCTGAGAACAAAGGGCCCCTGTGATGAAGAAGCAGTCTGGAGGTGAAAATCTCACAGGGGAATTCTTCCTTACTCATGCCCTGGCTTGCAGCTCCAGGCGTCATGGAGGACACACTGCATGGAACCGTGACATACACATTATTGAAAAGTCACTGAACATCTACAGCAAAATTCTCCCCTAGCAGGAGTCTTATGAGTAAAAGTGGACACTTTGTAGGGGAGTAAGACATTTTATACACAATGAAAAAAAATTAGAATGCCTAACCTTGTATATGGGCCACATATTGTGGTAGCTGCTTGGTGCTGAATTCAGCACAGTGTCTCAGACTCTGATTCTAAAGAACATCAGTCAATGTGCTGTGCCTCGGCAGCTCAGTTGGGAGCAGGGGCATGAATAGTAAAATAAGGTAGAGGGTGGTGTTTCCCTCAGCTTTACAACCTGAGCACAGGAAGAAAATAAGAATTTATCTTCCCAGGTTCAAAAGATGAGAAATAGTATAGAGAAATTCAAAATAATTTTTGGATTGTACTTTTCATCTGTGGGTGGCAAGGACAAGGTAGAGAGTGAATGTGGATGTGATCACCCACAGAAGCTTAGGCATTATCCTTCCTGAAAACCAAAGAGAAAATAAGTACATGAAAAAAGACACTTACAGCGCCATAACAGACTCCTCCAGAGGTTGTAGTGTAATGATATCTGCATAGTACAAATAAAAAAAAAGGGAGAAAAGTCCCCCAATCACCACATCTCCATCCCTGTACACACTGGTGCTCCTTCCGCGTAGACAGTGTTCATTTTCAAAATTGCACACTAGGAGAGGATGCTGCAGGAGAATGAACATAATTATCAATGGGAACATCTTAGAGAATGTCTGCAAAGACTTGCCTAAGCAAAGAGCCTCCCTCTTTCAGCCATGTACACACATACATTATTGTATATTTTATGTGTGTTATTGTTTTTGATTTGGACTAGCACTTTCCTGTCACTAGCCCTCTCCTGTCAGGGACACTTTTCAGCAAAGCCTCCCAGGGGACCCAGGATGAATATGCCACCAATTACCTCCTGGATTCTGCATCTGAGGTCTGGTGCAAAGGTGAAAAACACAAGTTGGAAATTATTTTGAGTGTCATTCTCTCCACCTAGAGGCACCATGACTCATCCAGGTCCACTGAAAGCAACATCCCAGGCCCACTTCCTCCTGGGCACTTTGCTTCTCAGCCTGTGTCAATAAGCCCTTTGGGATGTATCCTATGAATTGGACAAGAAGTACAGTGCTGGGTATTCACTGGAATGGTCTGAGATGGCCTAGACCCAGCCAAGAACACCTGTGTATTAGGAAATCCAGAGTAGAAGACAAGAAGTTACACCCTCATATACCCACCAATGACTTTTTTATGGCCTATGATTGTTGGCATAAAAGTCACTTGTGCTGAACTCATATCCACATATTTCTGCATTTCCTGCAGTGCCAGTAATTACACTGAATGCAGAAAACCAAATCCCTAACTCAAGATCAGTGCAGGAAAATGTTATGATTTTTTAATTTTATTTTTTAGTCATGCATGTTTGCCGTACATGCATTTTATCATCATGTACATATTAAGAGGTTTTTTTCTTTTTTAATCCCATTTCCTCCCACTTCCCTCCCTCCTCCTCTAAACCTTATTTTCCCGTTTTTATTCTCACTGATATTATTAATCTTACCTCATGTTTGTGGCACATAATGCTTACATTCGTGGAGGCCCTCAGTTTCCTGTATGAGGTATATCTTTGTTCCATTTCCTTTGCCTTGCCTCCCACTCTCCATGCATGCTCTGTATATAGGACCACTTCCCACTTGCAGGGATCTATTCCATTGTCTCCTATCCATCCTTTGTTGTTCACTTTGTACTTTGCCTTCCTCAAGTGAGAGATCACCACCATGGCAGTGGTGGTGAACATAAGGCAGTTTGTTATCACTGGAAGCTCTAAAAGATTTGCCATCACTGCTTTATGGTATTTAAGCATGTGTGTCTGATTTACTTCACTCAACATTACATTTTCCAGGTGCATCCATTTTCCTACGAATGTTTCATTTGTCCTTCTTTATAGCTGAATAGTATTCCTTTATGCACAGATACCACATTTGCTTTATTCAATCATCTGTTCATGGGTATATAGGCTGCTTTTAGCTTTAGCTATCACGAATTGTACTGCTAAAGCATTTGTACACTTGTAAAGCTGTAGTATGATGTCTATAGCTTTTTGGGTAAGTTACCTAGTAAAGGGATAGCTAGGTCATATGGAATTTCTAATGTTTTCTTTGAGAAATCTCTATGCTGATTTCCAAAGTGGTTTTACTAGTTTACATTCCCACTAACAATGTAAGAGTTAAAATGCTTTTCAGTTTTTCCCATTTAATATAATATAGATTATTGGTTTGGCATAAGTAGCTTTTAGCAAATTCAGGTATGATCCTTCTATGCCTATTTTCTTCAGGGTTCTTGTTATGAAGGGGTGTTCGGTTTTGTCAAAGGCCTTTTCTGCATCTATCCATATGATTATGTGGGTTTTGACCTTGCTTTGGTGTATGTGATATATGACATTTATTGATTTGTGTATGTTTAATCATTCTTGGATCTCTGGGATAAAATCTATTGATCTTTTGATGATGTGCTGTGTCCTATTCGGTAATATTTTGCTGACAGTTTTACATCTATGTTCACTAAGGAGATTGGCTTGTAGTTTTGTTTTTCAGTACTGGGGATCAAACTCAGGACCTTGTGCCTGCAAGGCAGGCAGCGGAACCACTGAGCTAAATCCCTGGGCCCATTTGTAGTTTTCTTTTTTACTCGAGTCTTTACCTGGTTTTAGAATCGGTGTGAGGCAGGCTTCCATAAATTAATGTGGATGCGCTCCACTTCTTTCAATTTCTTGCAAGAGCTTGAGGAGCATAGGAGATAAAACACCCTGGAAAGATTTGTAGAATTCAGCAGCAAATCCATCAGGCCCTGGGCTGTTGTTAATTTGTAAATTCTTTATCACTGTCTCAATTTCATTCCTTGTTATTAGATTGTTCAGAATTTTTGTGTCCTCTTAGCTTATCTTTGATAATTTATATAACTTTAAGTATCTCTCCATTTCTTCAAAATTTTCCAATTTGTTGAAATATAATTTTTCATAGTAATTACTATCTTCAGAATTTTGATGATGTCTTTTCGTATTTCAATTTTTTCATTTCTAATTGGATTGTTGTGAGTCCTTTCTTTCTCTTGTTAAGTTTGGCTAAATGTTTATCTCCTTACTCTTTGAAAGAAGCAGCACTTCCATTCATTATTTCTTTGCATTTTTAATTCTTGATTTCATTGATTTTTGTCTAGCCTTTATGATTTCCTGTCTTGGTTTTATCAGATGTGTCAGGCATGTTCCTGGTTAGGAAAGCCACAGTAAAGCTCACCAGGGCCAGGGAGCTCAGATATCCCAGGACACAGTAGAAGGCAGTGAGCAAGCCCTTGTTGCAGGCAATAATAATGTGGCCATGTTCAGAGTGTAGATCTGTGTCAATGTAGAGCGGATTTGTCCCGGTCCAGATTATTCAGAGTGAGTTGTATCTTGGAGTAGATGGGGATGATAGAGTTATGCTCTATATTGGGGGCTAGATCATAACCAGATTTGATTTATGCAATATAATTCAACACACTAGTTTCTTGGAAAATAGAAATAAACTAAATTACTAAAGAAAATATAATAAAATTTAGATAATTTAGAAATAAACAATGACTATAGGATTCTTACTAAATTAGAATCAGCCTGCTTTGTTCTGCAGTGTGTGGGTCACCATCTTCTCTGTGTTCCACAGCACCAGGAGGAAGGTCATGGTGGCCATGGTGGTTGCCTCCATCTTGGCCTCCAGTGCAGGGCTGCTAGGATAAATCTTTGGTTCAAAGTGCTACATTGTTTTTTTAAGTCCAGAAAATTTTTTTTGTATGGATTAAAAGATAAAGCATATTTTGTGAGAAAGAAGTTTTCTGAAATTTAAAGCATTCTTTTACCAGGGATTCCTGTGGTGGATTCCAATTGCCTGCTCAGTGCTATGACACTTGGAGAGAAGACACAAAGACAGCAATAAAGAGACAGCAATATGGGGAGCCAAGATGACCAGAACTTGTGCAAGTCAAGGCTTGAACAAGCAAAGTCCCCAAACAACCAGGGCTGTCGATATTTATTGGTAACATCATACTTATATTGAGGTAAAGAGGCTATGTGGAGGGACTGTGTGGAGTTGCTATGGATATGTTGCTGATGCAGGCAAGGCTTGTGAAGGAAGAGACAACAAATTCTTGAATTAGGAACAAAACAGACAAAATATAGATTGTGGTTAAAAATTAACATTGTCTTTTTAGTAAAGAAGGTTTTAACTTTGGGAACAGAATTCGGGTAAGAGTCACTCTGACCTCAGTATGTAGGCTTCAGCCAGGCTCTCCTCTATAAACAAGCCAATTGTGGGGTTAACTCTTTACAGCCTGCAGTGCTTATAGCCCACTTTGAGCATAATCATTAGGGTAATCTTCCACATTCTTTTAGTAGAATATATAAATATTCTGAGAAAAATCTGCATTATTTTTCCCATCAAATATTAGATCTCAGTGTGGAACTTATTTGAAGAAACAAAGGGCAATTGATTCTTAGATACAACCAGGTGCAAAAATTGGCTTTTCAATTTGAAATTTAATCCATTGTTTTCCCCATTAATTCTACTACAATAAATACTGTTTTATGCACTAAATTTTGTCATATTATTCACTTGCATTTCATCATCATCTTGGCTGTCAATTATCTTTACTAACAAATACTCTGCTCTGTATAGATCAATGTTCCTCAGTCCCCCAGTATATTTCATTGTCTTTCTCTTCTCAAGAAATACCATGCTTTTTAAATGGTGGTAATAGTATTACTTAACACTTACTTTTTTTTCTCTCTTTTGACTTTTGAAATATTCCTGAGGGTATTTTGCAGAAATTTCTTTCATGTGGGCTTCAAATTCTAGAATTGGCTGTTCCTGTGTAGTAACAAATACCCTCGAATTTCATATGGCAAGGTACTGAATTTTTATGCTAATTTTGGGAAGAACAGGGTACTGTGCAGTAGTGATTTGTCCTGTTCTTGATTGATATATCTTTCCATTCATTCTTGTTTCATGATCTTTTATAAATATGAGACATGTTTCTGTATATATGTCTTGCTTTGTACTCATTAAATAGACATACAAATAATAATTATGAAACAGTTTTCTTTTCATATTTTCCTTGGATATTTTTTTAGAATATTTTGGATAATATTTACAAGGAGAATTGTCCAACAAACCTTAGCCAAGGTAACATCGGGTTTTTTTGAGACAATGTCTCACTCTGTAGTTTAAGCTGGCCCTGACTTCACTACGCAGCCCAGGATGACCTCAAACTTGTGGCAATATTGCTGCCTCCACCTCCCGAGTCCTGGGATTACAAGTTTGTGCCACCATGCTTGGCAGTAACACTATTTTGTAGGGGACCACAATTTACTCTCATTCCTGCTACTCAGTGATCAAACTGACTGTCTATGGAAACAGCATTGTGATCTTTCCTCACTTGATGGGCATGGGTGCCACTCTGAACCTGAGCACATCATTGTCTTGTGCATCACTGATTCCATCTTTGCCTTTGGCTCAGCCCATAATGTCTGGGCTCACTTTCTCCATGGGATTCCACAGAGCCTCTCCTAGACTAGAATCTGCCTAAAGTGTTCCAGGAAGCCACATTCTTGACTTTTAGCATAGTGTTGTTTGAAGCATCTGGTTCAACTCTACTCCCATCAACTGCAGCACAAAAGGGAAGATGATGGTGGCTGTGAACCTCTTCTCCATTTGTATTCTAGCAGATAAACAACAACCTTCTCCCCTCAAACACTTTGAGTTTTAATTTTATGTAATAATTTTTGTCTTCTATAATTACGCTTTCTATTATTCATACTGATCAATTAATTTTGTTTGTAGTCACCATGCTTATCTTCCAAGTCCAACTTAGTCTCATTTACCAGTTTTTCAGAGAGATACTCAGGAATTTTTCTTTTCTGCATTTAGCCATGATTATCCAAAATACAAGGATAATTATAGAATAATAAAAATTCTCAGCAGTTGAAAATGTCATTTTGAGGTTTTTTATGTGAATTATATTTCTGGGCATTGAAGTTAAATTTCCTATGGTTATCCCATGTCATAACTAGATTTTAATTTTAATTTTTTTCTTTAAAATATTTAAGGTATAAAGCATCATTTTTCATTCATTAAGTTTATTGTTACATTTTGGGTATACAATATGATGACGTTCATCCTGGGAATTTATAATTTTACACATTGTATCTTGATTCTTATTTTTCCCCATTCCCTTGACCTCCCTTAAACCCCTCCACCCCTCCCTTCTTACAAAAATTTTGTTTCGTTTTTTTCCTTTTCTCATATTTATTTCTTTCTCTTCTTTCCTTTCCCCACCCCTTCCACTTCCTCTTTTTATTTGGGCCTTTTCTTCCTATTTCATATAATCTATTATACATTTTGATCCTTACACTTTCAGTTTCTAACATCAGAGAAACTGTTCAGTATTTACATATGTGTGTACTATTTTTTTCACTTAAGAGTATTGCCTCAAGTGCATCCATTTAATTAATGTCTGCAGTGTCTCATTCTTTATGGCTGAGTATTATTCTATTTTATAAAAAAAAAAAAACACAACTTTTTATCCAGTCTCCAGTTAATGGGCAATTAGGCTGCTTCTAATTTTAGCTATTACAAACTGTGCCACTATAAACATGGGTGTGCATATATCGCTGTGTATGATGCTTGTAATTCATTTGAGAAGAAACCCAGTAGGGGAATGGCTGGGTCAAATGGGACCTCTAATCCTAGTTTCTTAAAGTATTTCCATATTGATTTCCACAGTGGTTTCACCAGTCTACACTCCCACCAAAAGTGCAGAATGGTTCCGTTTTCCCAACAACCCTGTCAGTGTTTGTTATAGGTTGATTTCTTGACAACCATTCTTTCTGGAGTGAGGTGGAATCTCAGCGTTGTTTTCATTTGTATCTCTCAAATGACCAGTGATGTTGAACCTTTTTTCATATGTTTATTTGCTGCTTCTACTTCTTTGTCTGAGAAATGTCTGTTCATTTCAGATGCCCATTTTCAGATTGGGTCTTTAAATTCGGGAGGTCTGATCTTTTTAAGTTCTTTACAGATTCGAGATAGTAGGCCTTTGTCTGAGGAAGAGCAGGTGAAGATTTTTTCCCACAT